GATGATGATGATGATGATGATGATGATGATGATGATGATGATGATGATGATGCTGATGATGATGATGATGATGATGATGATGATGATGATAAAGATTATGTTGGAAGTTGATGTGAGCAGATGTCCTTTGGAAGAAACCCTTCGCAGGTGCTTTCGGGAAAAAATGAGTTTCACAAATCAGGCGCTTTGAAGGGGGGTGTCACTGCAAGGAAAACTTGAACCGTGTTGTTTGTTCAGCAAACTAATGCGGCCGACATCAAAACAAGTCGGCTAACCAGGGTCAAATACCAAACTGAACCTAATCTCTCCGACAAATGGACCAAAGGGTAAACAAGGGGCATGCGTCACATAGCCTCGGCGAAGAATGCTCGTGGCAGAAATGCAGAGTTCGTCTAGATCATTCGGCCCAACAACTTTCGCGTCGGTGAGAACTGAGGGCACCCGAGTCCCTCGATATGCTGCCTGCAAAAGAGGCTCAAGGAATCCGGTTATGAAGTTGATGTTCAAGGTGTGCGCCAAAAACTCAAGGTCGGCGCAAATGAAATGGCCTCGCGCCAATACGGCAGAGATATTTGCGCGCAGTGGTTCCAGCTGTTCTGCCCCAATGCTGGCTTGACGAATGTGATCCAAAGCTGCCTCAGGCACCCCTGCAGTTCGTAAACCTGCGATGAGAATTGGAATCACAAGTTCTACCAACTTGGCCGTATCAAGGCCAAAGGCTGTTGTAAGCAAGTCCAAATGAGAGAAAGAGAGCGTGCTAGACGAGGACATCTGATGCCCTGCAATCATCAAGTCATCCAGCCGATCGGGTTGTGGCTCTGCTTCTGAAACAGCTGCCGTGACAGAGACAGGAGCTCCAAGATTGGCCAGGGCTGTGATCAGCAAAGGCTTGAGAATGTCATTAGTAGCGTCAAATCCAAAAACATCTGAAGCTAAGTGGACTTCTGAATAGAGGGGTACCCCCGTCGAAGGATTTTCGGTGCGTGGTTGTAAAGGGCATGCAACGCCTGGAAATCCATTGGAACTCTGGAAATCACTTCCTCATTCAAGGCAGTCACCACTCCTGGAACAAATGCTTGAATGATGCTTTCCAGTTTGTCTCGCAAAAACTCAGCAGCTTGTTCCTGCAGTATGCTGGAGACTTCATTGGTAAACTTTGCCATGAAAGCAACATCCAACCCCTCAGCGACTGCATCGGGGCATCTGGCACCTGGGGAAGAAAGCCAGCGGGAAGTGACCATGACGGCGTTCATGGGGCTCGGTATGGACAAATCAAGACCTCGCAGCTGGATGCGGAACCTGCTACCTGCGACGACCAAGTCCTGACGCCACACTAGGGCAAATTCACGCAAACGAGCGTCCATGAGCCATTGCGACTGCTTGCTGACTGGCTCGCCAGTTTCGCCCAAGAGCACGATCTTGAGAGTGCGCACCCCACAGGGTTTCCACGTCAAACGCAATGTGTCTCCTGGGAAGATTGCCGAGGTTCCTGCGTTGTCGTTGATGTGGAGTGAACTCAAAAGCACCTGAGAACAGCGGGCCAAATCAACTGAATCTAAATTATATTGGGTTGAAGAGAGAGTCTACCTTAAGACCCACCTTTTGCAAATTCAGTTTCAATGAACAAATGCTGCCCACCCTCCCACCTGCGCGTCATCACAGGGGCTGTCGGTATGAAAGGCCGCCAAGTAGTTCTCGGGCAAGTGCAGCAATCTACATCGATCCCATAGCGATGCCTCTGTGGAGCCAGAGTTGTCCCCGCAGCTGCCTGATTTTGTTCGGAGGTTTGGAACGTCCTTGTTCAATTGCAAAGGTGAGCTGATCATCCAGTCATGCTGAAGCGCAGCAGGCATGGAGGCTACTGGGTCAGAACACTGTCCATCTTGCAGCCAAAAGCGCCGGGCCCTTTCGCAAGTCGCAGTTGGATGTGAAGCGTTGAATATTCGAGGAGCACCGTAAGTTCGTAGGTCATTCATCCGTGGCTGTGGACGTTCAAGGTGGTGTAACACAGCCACCGCGCCTCCCAAACCATGACCCAACACATGCACCTCACTGCACCGTGTGTCACCTGAAGACACCTGAATCCAAAGCTCCCAGTTTGGAGATTGCTTGATGTTCTCATAGATCTCCAAGACACCTTGATGAACATCAATCTCCGAATGAGAAGCTTGAAACCGGGCTGGCTTCTGCTTGGCAGACAGCAGAAGAGACTGCATGTCTTGAAAGCTTCCGCTACCTGTTGCCCAGTTGAGGACCTGAGATGAACCCCCAAAAGCTATAGCACAGCGAGAGCCGCTGACAGAAACATAGGCGCAATGCACGCTACCACAAACATCCAAGTGAAGGGCCCAACCTTGTGCTCCATGGGTCTTAGCACTTTCCGCTGCATCTGCTGAAGCATGAGCACCATGCGCCAGTCGCGCAAATTGCTCTTCAACACTTTGCTCCCACGGTATGCTTGCTGTAGACTCATCATGCACCGTCACCAGAATCTCCCCGGAATGCTCACGCGCTAGCTCCAGCACTCGTGCGAAGGAACTTGCAGACTCAAGCAAAGCAATGTAGGTGCCAAAGATATTTGAGGAGTTTGCAACCAGAAGGCTGCGACGGTCCGATCGGACCGCTTCTGTCGCAAAGGTCCCGCAGGTGATCCACGTGGTCTTGTGGTCAGGCACCATTTCCAAAACAAGATTGTCTACTCCGCATGAGGAGCGCATGAGGAGCCCTGTAGAGCTTGCACCGATGCCGAGTAAATCCCTGCTGGAATTCGATCTGGCAACCCCAACTCCGCAAATTCTAGGAGCAAGCGCTGGTCACCAGATATGTTCACACGCAACTTGCCAGTTGTGTACTTCTCAGTGGCAACTTCTCGCTGGAAACTCAAATGCATGACAGCAGGCTCCGATGAGCATTGGGCTGCCACAGCGCGTGCTTTGGCAACCGTCTGCAATGAGAACTTCACGAGCTCCGACGATACTAGGGGTTCAAAGCAGTGCCCAAGCGACTGTTGAAGCACAGCATACAAGGCTTTCAAGATGCTTTGCGCATCAACCGGTGCCTGGTCAGTGTGCTTGCTCAGCGTGGTAACGAAAAAGTGTTTCTGTAGCTGCTGCACTGCAAACTTGCTTGCAATTTGAACCATGATCTCCGCAATCTCATGGTGCAGCTGTTCGGCTTCGGAGCCCATGCACACTTTGAACTTGTCTGCCAATGACGGTGTGGACATGCTTTGTAGAAAGTTCTGGACTATCTCAACATTTTGCTCCACCTGCTGAAGGGTTGCATCCAACGAAAAGGATGAATCGGAAGAGGCAGGCTCCGGAAGGCTCAGCACAGATCCCACTTGCTCCCTCGCAAGTCTCACTGCAGCTGCCTGCAAAGCATCTCCCACTTCTGTCGCTGCGATGGCATCCACCAGATGGAGCACAATGTCAGGCGCCAAGACGGAAGAAACAACTCTGGAGGCTACAAACAGCAGGACTTGAAAGATTGCATCCTGCGTGGCGGCATTCACAGCTTTCCTTGAATCTTGATGCAATTGACCGGAAGCGTCCTGCATCTCATAGATGGAGGTCTTCACCAAGTTCTTCAATTCAGCTATGGAACTCCCCACTTCTTTCTTCGCGTTGCTCCAAATCTGTGACACCAATTGCTGCTTCTTAATTTGTTTCGGAAGACTTCCGAGGACTTTCTTGACTGCCTCAGCAACAGAATCAAACACGTTGCCATCTTTCTCCAGCGCCTTTGTCATCTCAGTTGACATTGTTCTGATCAGGTTCACACCCAAACCATTCACCTGATTGGAGATCGCATCCCCAACACGCTCAACTGCAGTACTGGCTATGTCGTCCACACGACGAACTATGGTTGAAATCAAGCTCGAAGCCGTACCCGAGATGAGCTGCTTCAGGATATTCTTGAGTTGCCGCTGCGCTGGAGGAAGAATCGAATCAAGTGTCATCGCAAGGTCAACATTGAAGATTTGGCCGAAGCTGAGAACGCCAGATCTAAAACTAGCCAAGCCCTTGTCAAGTGCAACCTCTAGAGCACCAACTGGTTCCTCAGATGAGGCAGCATGGCTTGCAGCATCTTTCAAAGCCATGTGGAGGCTGCTCTGGATCAATTCCACGCTATGCCCCTGAATCTTGTGTATGAAAAAGTCCACCACCCGTTGCACTTGTCCAGCTTCTGTGTTGCCAACATCAAATACTTGTGGCAGAAGGGCGTGCATGGCACCCCTGGCTGTCTCTCTCAACTCGCTTTCAACCTGAAGAAGCTCGTGATTGACGACAGCCAATACATCCACTTGCATCGTGCGAGACAGCTCTGCTGACAAGGTCCCCCTCCCTTCAGCAACCATGGCAAAGACCCTGGGCAACTCGTCCTGCACGCTTGTTACATGAATGCCTTGCCAGGACTCGTTCAAAATGGCATCAGCTTGGGGAAGGAGAGTCTCTACAGCAAGTACTCCTGCCTGTCTGAGCAAAAGTCGCACACCGTGGCAAGCAGAATCCTGTATGACAGGCGTTGCCTGCTCCTGCACTTTTTGATACACCTGTCTGATTCTGACGGTGTCTTGGGAGTCCTGCACATTGAATGGTGGCAGAAGTTTGGAAGCAATGTTTGAGAGCTGCTTGCACTGGTTGTGGGGAAGATCTGGACCAAACTTCTCTGCAAGTCTGCTTTGCAACCTGTCTGAAAGCAAGGACACTGTGGGAGTCACAACGTTGAAAAAATCCAAAACACTCTCCTTCGCTTGCAGCATGAAACTTTGAGCCACTGTGGACAGAGATTGCTTGATGGCATGCCCGACTGCGGCTCTCAATGTATCGAGTAGAGGGTCCTGAACCTTCTTCTTCAGAAAGCTCTCAAGGTGGGGCACGACCAACTCTTTCAACTTCGTCTTCCCATAGCCCTTGAGCTTGTTCACAGCTCTTGCCGCTTGGAACTTCAAAGCAGCTCGCTGCGCGGCGGCAGAGGTGCGAGAGTCGATCTGGTCCTCCTGCAGTCTTCGACCCAGTGGGCAACTGACATAGCCATCAAAGCCACACCAGCGGCAGTTTGGGTATCCACCAGCACCACATCCACTTGTCGCCGTGCCCACTGCAGTCCTGCAGCTATCATCATAAAAGCAAAGTCTTCCGGAAGCCTCATCGGAACAATCGAGAGATGGCTGTTCGGAGCAAGCTCGTGGGATCCGTGGTGCCAGCGTTGGGGCACAGGAGTCGTTGACCGGCTCGAGCTGCTCGATCTTGTCCTGCTCATGGTCCACAGCGTCAGCATCACAGTCCCACCTCTTCAAATCTCGCTCGCATTTTCCATCAGCTGTTGGTCGAAAGCAGCCTAGTTTGGCACAAGTGGCGCTGGTGATGCACTGTCGCCTGCCACTTTCGTGCAAGAAAAGGAGCTTGCCTGATCCACATACCAAGCAGTCCTCAATCGCAGGGCCGAAGCACTCTGCGCAATCAGCAGCACATTGTTCACAGCAGTGCACCAAGTAGCAGCCAGGCTCAAATCCACCAGATGCTTTGTCACACTGGTCTGAGTCGGCAGTGATGCATCTAGTAATCATCTGGTGGATGTAGAAGCCTTTTGAGCACCCTGTGTTTGGCTTACCGCGCACAATATCCTGCAGCCTTACCATCTGCTCAACACCGGCAGCAGAAAGCTGGCAGGATTGGTCTTCAGACTCAGACTCAATCTGAAGACCGGCGCCCAGCTGCATGATGCTTGCCTCCAGTTCTGCAAGCTCTTCATTCCCGGCATCTTGTAACCGCCTCGTGTTTGCTTGAAGGGCGCCACTAGCCCCAAGCAAGCGCGGTGAGCGAACCATGGACAAGCGTCTGGATGGGACAGTAGTCTCACTGGCATTTCGAGTCACACAGAACGGTGCTTGCTCATTGCACTTTCCGAGGTTACATCGTCTTTTTTCTTCAAGAAGAGGGCAATCATCGGCACCTTCATCTGGATACTGCACGATGGATCGTGTGCGTGTGAACCAACCAATGCCACATGTCCGGGAGCAACTGCTCCAATCTGCCCAATCATCTGTCAAGCACTCTTGAACTTGTGGAGGACTGCAGCGATCCACACTTGGGCCACTTTTTCCAACCCAATTGTCACGACAGTCACCGCACTGATGATCTACCCTGCCATCCTCACATGCTAAGCGATGCAAAGCACGGCAATCTGGGGCGAGTGAACAGTTCACAGCCTCTGCGACACCAATCAATTCCATACTCCGGAGCCCCCAGGGTGATACAGGACCGGTGTCACTGATATTTTGGATGGTCTGATACACAGTTGATTGCCAGCCTTGAGCCACTGGCTCGCCAGAGGCACAAGATACATAGCATCTACATCCTGTCTCCGGTGATTTCGAATAGAAAGCAAAGTAGTCGAATTGAAAGCAGAAGCGTTGGCAAGCGTCAATAGTCTCACATGGTTCCAATTTCTTGACCTCATTCCTGCAGTTCCAATTGTATTTGTGCAGCTTGCGTTGGCCACTTGCCTGCCCCAACCGATCAGTTAATCTGATGGTGACTCGGATGGCAGTGCACAAATGTGGCTGCAAGGTTGATACAAATACATGTCGCTGAGAATCAAGTTTGGCCCAAGATTGGGACTCAGTATCTTGAAATGTCCAGCTGCTGGAATTGTGAAGCTGATCATCCAACGGCAATCGTGCCAGACTCTTCCAAAGGCCAGATTTATGGGTTTCTATATGAATTCCCATCTGCCCGCTGAACATCATCTCAAATCGCACCGACCGAAGTTGGTGAAGACCTGGTAGTTCAATCAGAGCTGATCCTTCTATTGAAGAAAGAAGCCATGGCAAACCTGATATAAGGTTTGAGACTGGAGTCACTGGATCTCCTGTCATTGAGGCGGTTGCGGATAACATCAAGTCAATCACTTCACGGCAAAAATCAGGCAAAGAAGCTCGGCTTTCGCAATCGAATCCGGGTTCCAGCTGACAATTTGGGCTGCAGCCGTCATCCGGCTCCATGTTCCCATCATCACAGGCCTCTAAGGCCTCTCGCTTTCCATTCCCACAGAGCGGCAAAGAAATGTTGAGACGTCCAACTGGTACCGGATCACAGCCAAAGCACCACCAGCAAAGCGTGTAGTTGCCAGCTGGCATTCCTGGAACTGTCCAGCGTAAAGAAGTCTTGCGGGAAGCTGTGAATCCGACCCATGGAGATGTAGATACAGCAAGCTGAACAGCCTGAAGTACAACAGAAGAGTTCTGCATCTGAGACTCCACATCGTCTCCCTCTTGCTTGGAACTCTCATTCTGCAGGCAGTCCTCGTCATTGACAAAGGCAATGCTGTCGCTCATGGCAAGGGCATTTCCAAAGACGTGAAGCTCAAAGGGCTTTGAAGCGGCTGGCTCCAGCACTGCACCTCGTGCACCAGTGAGCTTTATGGGACCTGACACTGAAAGCATTCCACAAAAGATTGCGCGTCCTGGATGGAGCCTCCAGCAAAGGGTGTAGTTACCGCTGCTTGTGTGATGAAATGCAGCTGCAGGGATGACTGAAGAACTTCCATTCAGCTCTTCATCAAGCACCAGTTCTGCAATTGGATCTCCATCGCAGTTTCCTCTCGGTCCAGAATGTGCGCTGATGGTGCCTCCTGGGACCTGGAAACCAGAAACTTCTAAAGGACAGCTACGGCCTCTCAGGCACATGGCGCTGCAAGTGTTGGGGCCTGCCAACAGCAACTGTCCGAAGAACGCAGAGTATGCCACTTCCGGCCCAGACCTCCAGCAAAGATCGTAAATTCCTGGATTGCTGGAAGGTGTGCCCAGATCATATGTGGCATGGGGATCATTAACATCGCTCGCTGTTGTCCAGCGAAGAAACTGAGTTCGTGATCGTGGATGATTGAAAGCATGTGCGTTGCACAAGCCAGTTGGCACCACTGCTATTTGACTCTCATTGAAGTCTTCATCCACAGATGTCTTGATGATGCACTTGACACCAAGATTGCAAGACCACCAGCCACTGACTGGACCAGCAGTCCGGATGTCCTTGACCGCTAGCTTGTTGCCGTGGCCTGCAAAATTCACTATGGCACCAGGCCTCACAACAATCTGATAGTCAGTCGCTGGGAGGACATTCGCAGGCATTGCAAGTCGGAGTGAAGCGCCGTGAATCTGAGCAGAAAAATATGCAATCGTCTGAGACTTGTCTCCAATCAGCTCAATCGGTGCCGTGCCTAATTGAATTGGCTCGGAGAGCTGGGCCTCCAAGATCATATCCATCGAAACGTCAGTTGCAACGCTCCAACGCAAGAACTGCGGCGGGAGCTGCCCTGCGAGCTGCCTGGGCCTGGAAGATGATCCATACTGATGGCTGAAGGCCTCAGGCGCTTGTGCATGTGGATACCAAGAGAGTGGTGGCTCCTGACTATCCGCCGCCGCCACCAACACAAACAAAAGCCATTGCGCCGGCATGGCGTGCAATTGAACTAATTAAACGTTCCCATGGTAAAAGCAACGATGAGTACAGGAGAGCCATGTCCAAATCACTGAACCCATTGCAGGTTGATCGCATGGTTTTGCGATGGCTTGAATACCCATGTGGAACTAAGGGGACAGAAACTCCATAACCATTGAGCTCTTTTTCTCAGCTAGCGCCTAGCGCAGCTAGAAGCGTGTGTGCCATCATGTGTCATCAAGCAGCGTGTGTCTTCACTTTGTTTGTCTGGCTCCCTATGTCAAAAGGCTGCTCCAAGCCTGCATGGCAGCGAATCCCAGTGCACGCGAGTCTCAAACCATCAGCTGATGTCCATGACATCTGTTCAGCCTTGGCATGTTGACAAGTGAATTTGCAAGAGTCACGATCCCGTCTATCCTCATGAGGATAGCTATGAGCCTTGCGAGCCGCTATGACAATGAAGCCAACATAGTGCAATACAATATTTAGTGTATAGCCAAAGGTTCTTGCCACCAGAAAGCCTCATGCTACTGCCTGCAACACAGTATGTAATCGATACACGATGCTTTCCATGAACGTCGAACGCCAACAGCAAGAGCATTGTGCATCTACAAATGTCAGTTGAGCGAGGTTCGTGCATCACAGGAGAACACCAAGAAGGAAACCCACAAGCGTGTGCTACGTACACATTGGAGTCAAACAAATGTGGCAAAAAAAATTGCAAAAAAAGAAGCGAGGAGCAAAGATTGAAGAAACCAAAAGGCTAGTGACCTTAAATGGAGTTGTACGACGTGTTGAAAGAATATGAAACAATCAGGTCGATGCAGGTCAAACGGACTGGCAAAGAGAAGGGAGACAGCCAAAACCATCCAAAACCTAAGAAGAGTTCCAAGGCGCACGCAAAACAATGCTTGGAGAGATTGGTATGATGGTGTCTATTCATGGCGTTGCAATGGGTGTCCCTGATGTTGTGGTCACTTCAGGATGCGCCAGATTGGCGGGCGAAGCTTCCAGTCTTCGATCTTGAATGCTCTATAACGTGAGCTCTATGACCATGGTACGTGATAGAAATCTCCTGCCATCCAAGGAGAAAGGAGGCACCCATCGACTGTCGTGATACCAACATAAAATAATTGGATGTGTTATACGTTTTGACACCTAAACAGTTGACCTGAGGAATCACCCACAGAAAACAAGGTGTAACCTCACATGTATTATTTGAAAGCAGGGACGGATGTGGCCGGTCTCCTGTCCATTGAGTTTAATCATTGCTTCCTCATACGACCATCCACGTCCCTGAACAACACCACATCGACCGGGCACGTTTGCGGTCGTGGCTGTGAGGCTTCCACTGCAGTCAGAATTTCTGAAACTCTCAATCACGACATACTGAGTCGTGTCGTAGCTTCAGCTGCACTCAGCAAGCCCAAAACCACGTAAATCCTCATGATCTTCATGTCAAGGTGGCCTCAACTTCTGTGACTTGGATCAGAGCAGGACAGCAATTGTGTTGCTTCTACTGTTGAGCCACAAAAGGGTGAATGACATGAACGTGAGGGCAATGAGAGCAACTCAGGACAGGACAAGAAAGATTGAAAAACATCCAGCCTTCGAGTGCTGGGCATCCACAGAGACATCGTCCAAGGCGGGCCTCACAGCCTCGCTTTCGAGTTGACGTCGCGTCGACTGGTACAACCTTCAGCCAAGCACCATCAGCAGAAGGTGCTTGGCGGAGTCACTGATGTAGACCGGTCCTGTTCGCACAGGTCTTCCATCTATCGACTGTATCATCAAAACATATCAAACCCAGTCTGTCTGGCTGCTTTTAGCTACTGTCAGCCACAAATGACAGCCAGGCATTGTATCTCTCGTCACGATGCAGCTCAAAGATCTCAAAGGACAAAGTCATTGTGAAGTCACCGATGCCTTGCTTTGCGTTGATGTTCTGGTTTCACCACATTAATCTACAAAAGGAAATGTTGTGTTTTAAACAGTGTGCCAACCGTGGCTTAAAGAACCGAGAGACTTCCTTTACACCTTGATGCTGGTGATGCTAATATTTGGCCGTGTGCTTTACTTTCTGGATCACAACGAAAGCACAAATTGAAGCGAACCGAGCGTTGCGCGGTTCATGTTTTAACTTGTCTGTGACAAAACAGCAGTGGTGCTATGAGCTCGTATCTTTTTTCAGCAGTTTCTACGTGCCCCTTTGAACTTTGGCGCGCTGTGAATGGCCTAAGCAAAGTCCTAAAAGCACGCCAAACAAAGGCCTACTAGAAGAATCGCTTTCACGGTCCAAGGGAAATGACACCACTTCACGTTGCACTGCCATGACGTCAGATTTCACCAGGCATATTGATCCGGAGGGGCTTGGTTCTTGCGATAATTCCAAGAGCCGCAGCGCTTTTGAAACAGGCTCGAATGAGCCGAGTTCACGAGTCCAAAGGAGTGCTTAATGGAGGACAGGGGTGTCCATTCTCCACTCACTTAGGGTCCCAAAAACAAACCCTTTGCAACTCCTTCAAGAATGCATTAATTTGTCAGGTATAGGTTTATGTAGCTCAATAGCAGCCATGATTCAGCTGACATGAAGTGGGTGACGAATGTTGACAGCTGGATTGCTGGCTATCTAATTAGATGATTCTAGATCCTGATGGACAATCCGTGATGCCACTATGGCTGAAGATTCAGATGAGAATGATTGGCTCACGCGGTGCTGCGCGAAGCTAGAATGAAACTTGGTGTCAAGAGAAAGGGAAAGGCAAAGGAAGGAGGAACGCCAAGCCAGGAATCAACGAAATCACAGCGGCAAGGATGCCAAGTATGGTATGTGCAACAAGACAGCAATGCTACTGCAACATCAAGGTACTCACCCCTTTCTTCAGGGCAAAGGTCTTGGAAGCTAAGCAAATCTTGTGCCACTCATGGAAAATGGAAAGCTTGTAGCCACGTCGTAGGTCACAGTTTTGCTGAAGGAAAAAAACACGACTTCGTTCGTCGATCTCAAGTACATCTGAGCCACGGAGGCTCGAGAGGAGGAAGGGGGCACGGATAAGGAAGCACCCTCCACAAAACGAGGCCAAACTCGGCTTTGCACTCTGCCAAAGAAGTACAAGTTACCCAAAACGTGTCCTCACGCGCCACCTAGATGAAGCGGATCCTATATGATAGATCCTTTGTTCCATGAGACACTGGCGGCTAGGTGTTGGTCGGCCTCCTGGAGCTTAAGCTTTCATCGGGAGCCACGTCCAGCTTTGGAGATTTCATGACTGCGCGAACTCGCAAGCAGTCATCTTTGCACTTGTTGTCAGCCGTTATACGACATTTTGCTCAGCTGTCATTCCAGCCATTTCCAGCCCCACAAGCCTCTTCATCAATCTCCATAGAGACTTCAAGTATCCAACCTCACATTGTACACTTTAATGCAGAATGATACAAACCTGTGCAAAGCCAAGCTTGCCACGCATCATTGCAGCCCACGCTTGCCGCGGTTGAAGCGGAAGCACTAGAAAACCTCCAGGCGTGCTCGTAATCTTCCATTTGTTTTCGAAACCCAGCGCTGCTCGCTGCTTAACATGTATGCTAGCCTGGACAGTCTGCCTTTGCCTTCGGAGTTCGCTGCTGCAGTCCTGCATGCCGTGAAGAACCTTCCGCAATCAGAGCATGCATGGGACAACAGAATCAGAAACACGGAAGCTGAAATCTTCTTCAAGAATCTTAAATGTCCGAAGCTAAGATTCAGGAACTTTGGCAAACGCCTCTGGCGTCCGTCTTCTCCAGGATGATCTTTCTGCATCCTCTCATCCAATATGCATAAATGAATGTCAAAGAAGCACATGTACCTTCGCAACATTGAAAATTCTATAACTAATTATGTTCAAAGCAACGATTCACATGAAACGCCCTTCGACCGTCGGAGTCGGTCCCGCTGGGTCCAAGTGCTTCACCTGGATGTCGGTCCGGCCGGCCCACCGGTGCCAGGCATCTGGATGGACAGCTGGATCGACACCGGGTCGCCATTGCAACGATTTTTCAGGAAGGGCCGAAGGGCTTAAGCCCGAGCAATCATCGTGAGAATCTCAGCAGTGCGTATGTGTGTCCATGTGTCCCCAAAACTGTTGAGGACCTGCAATGATTGGGACGATTGCCCCTGAGCTTCACCGCCCGATCTGCGCAATCTTCATATACCAACAACAATGGCACATGCAATCCGCCATCCAAGTCTACTCGGCCTCGAGCGCCCCTTCATGACACAGCT